TAGAGCACAGGGGATGATGGGTTAAAGTGGTGTTAGTGATGCAAAACAAAAGGGGGATTGTAACAAAGCAGGAAAATAGAGGTGTTAATACTGCGGAACAAAAAGGTGGGGTCAGGGGAAGAACTTACAACAAAATAGGCAAATCAAGGAGAGAAAAGGTGTGTCTGGGACCAAGATGGTGTGGTAATAGCCACAGAAGAGCAGGACGAGGAAAGTGAGCTGTTTTGGTCTGAAATTGTTGAAATCAATGTTGAGGACAGTGGGTTGTAAGGTCCCTACAACAACAACAACAAAAACTTGTATTTTTGTAGCGCCCTCCACTCCAGACGGCGTCTCAGAGGGCTTTACAGTAACAGATCCCGGGGCCGAGCCGGGGGGAGGAGGAGGAAGGTGACCAAAGGCGCAGTCGAAAAGAAAGGTCTTCAGCAGAGACCTGAAAATGGGAAGGGAGGGAGCGAGACGAAGGGAGTGAGGAAGGCAGATAAATCAGGTGATGTTCCTCGAGCTTGCGCTGTGGCTTATTTGAACAGCGAAGGAGACCGTGGATGGAAAGGGCAGAATGTGAGTGGGAGGGAGAGTTGAAATGGCAAGAAACCGGAAGCTCAGGGTTGAGCTTGCGTGCATGAACGGAGACGTTCGACAAATAGGTCACTGAATCTGCATTTGGTCTCCCCACTGTAGAGGAAACCTACGGCACCTCCCCACTCTCCCCATACTGACAAGTGCAAATCTGTCAGAAACAGTACAGATCAGGCTGATTTTAATGACTGATGATAGGTCAACAGGACTAATAAAAGGCCGGCACCTTCCCATGCCAGCGCAGGAGACACAATGCCTGTCCTTTCACCTCCTCCCATACCAGAGTCAGGGCCCTAAACACAGATTTCAAGTGAGGCCACGATTTGCGTGTACTACCACCAATGTAGTTTACTACACTCGCTGCTCACGATGGGGTCTCATGAAGAGATCACGTGCTTATATATCTGACTCGGAGAGGCATGTAATTTCAAAATGGGGAAGATTTATCTTAAGTCTGTGTCCTCTGATTACCGATCCCCCTGCCAGAGAAAACAATTTCTCCCTATCTATTCTCTCAAAACCCCTCATTATTTTGAATGCTTCTATTAAATTTCCCCTCAGCCTTACCTGCTTTAAGTGTAATAATCCCAGTCTCTCTTATCTCTCCATATAATTGAAGTCCCACATTCCCTGGTATAAATCTGGTGAACGATCCTCAAATTAAATTGGTTATTCACTTCACGGCTGTTGGTGGGGAGCTGCCCTGGGCATATTAACTGCTATGTTCGTCTACAAAGTACATAGTGAAGTGCTTTGAGCCTCTCCAGCATCCTAGGTGCTGCATCAAAGTCAAGGAATATCATTCAGCCTGTGCGCTCTAATTGATGATGGCCATTAGAGGTTAATGAAGCGTGCGGAGGGGGAGGGAGAGGGGGAGCAGGGATCTGAAAAATGAAAAGTAAGCATAAAAAAGCCCATGAAAGCAAGATAGATCGAACAGTGGAGCAAAGGAGCCAGATAACCAGCAGTTTTACAGATTAATCAAGTGATAGACTGCGATTAACACACTGTAAAAGGTTTCCTTAATATTCTTGTTGCCAAATCATCTTTAACGACAAGAGATATTGCACAACTATCAGCAGCAATGAATAGCTTCAATCTTTCGCACTAGCTTCGAAAGTTGCAAAGTGCTTTTTTTAATTAGTTCTTGATGTTACTTGGCTTGTTCAAGACTACTAGGAAAGGACTCAAAAGGGATAACGTAGACAGGCAGTATCCACTTGTTGTTGAGTTCATAACTAGAGGGACATGACATAAATATAAAATAGCGAGTGGGAGATCTGATAGGGAGTTTAGGAGGCAATTATTGATACAAAAGATGGTGAGAGTGCAGAACTCACTGCTGGAAGCTGTGTTTGAAGCNAAAAAAATCAATGTATTTTAGAAAAAAACGATGCGTACACAAGGGAGAAGGGAATAGTGGGGTACAGGAGAGGAGAATAGGAGAAGTGGGGGCTCATGTGGAGTATAAACAACAGAATGGACTATTCAGAGCAAGTGGGGTGTTTCCATGCTGTATCAATCTGTGTGGAAAACGCTCTGAGACGCTGTCCGGTGTGAAGGGTGCTATATAAATGCAAGTTGTTGCTGTTGTGTAATGTACAATAGGTATAATTTTCTCACTGCACTTCCGATTACAATTGCACCTTGTCCCTATCATCGGAAAGCACAATGCCCTACCCCCCATGAGCTCCTCGTGCATTTTTACATTGAAACTACACATCCCCCACCACACCTCCCCCTCCGACAAATCCCTGCAGTTTGGATCATGTCAGCTCATGTGATTGATTTCAGCCTCACTGTTACTGTGAACCTGGCTCACTTGGTAGCACTCTGGCCTCTTAGTTAAAAGGTTTTGGGTTCAGGCCCTACATTGGGGATTTTGAGCTTATAGACGAGGAAATGAAATGTGCTCTCAAATGTGAAATTTTGACGTCAATTATTTATTTTTAGATATCTAACTAGTTTCCTCTTAAAATATAAATAATTTGATCCTGTCTCAACCAAATGCACCGAGCAGAACATTCCACATCCAACAATTTTGTGTTAAAAAAACAAATTCTCGTAACCTTCCACTACGCTTTTGCAAACTATTTTAAATTATCACTCCCCCCCCCTTCCCCCCCCCAGTTATTATCTCACCGTTGAATGGAAATAATTTCTCTCTGTTGATTCTATCAAAACCCCTCATTGTTATGAAGACATCTATCATGTCTTTCCTGAACTTCCTCTGTTCCAGTGAAAATAATCACACAAGCCATAAGCAATGAAGCATGAATTGTGTCTTATATATTATTTTATTTGCTGTCATAACACTCAACATCAGAACATGTACAGAGTCTGCAACTGCTACCAACATGGTTTTTCATACATTAATGAAATTGTGTTATAATGCTTTTTAGCATGTGTTGTGTTCCACATAATTATCAAATCACACACCACATTTTGGCCCCACGTCCTTACGTTTACTTCTGAAATTACCAACCTTCAAAATGTGAGCACTCTTCTGACATTTCACTTGATAATAAGTTTCAACTTTACTCCAAATGTTCACACAAAGTACATTTTATTTGATAGCATACATTAACAATGCCTTATTATTAATGCAGGGACATCTTTTACACTGTTCCTTGCTTCGGAGGCCCAGTAACAAGGAATTAAAAATGTTTGTGCAAAATCGTAGCTAGATTTGACAAGTGTCCACTCATCCACTGTGAGTTGGGTGAGTGGAAAGACTGAGATGAGCTGTCATTGAAGACAGAAAGAGTGAATCCTTCAAACTTTACTTTGTATTTGTCAGATAAGGCTTGGTGATCCCAGAGTATACTGCTGGAGTTTATTCAGCTAAAAACACATAGATTGCCATTGGGAGCACTTCTGTTGCTTGTCCAGCTAGAACCACCCTACCCATTAGAGCACTGGCTTGCAATGTTAATAAGAATTGAGCGAGATGGATGCTTTCCCCCAGCCTGCACCTCCAGGTCCTGCCGATGATCCAGTCCGGGCTGTGCCATCATCAGCAGTGCCCTGGAAAACTGTGGACCCATCTGGCTCAGGAACTGGATAATACCAACAACAACTTGCATTTACATAGTGCTCCTCACACATGGTAGTTTCCCAGAGCGCTGGACTACCGAGACTGCCACAGAGGGTTGGCTCGATTGCTGTATTCCATTGCCAGGCATGTGACATTGAAGCCAGTTCAGCTCCAAGGAGTTCCCGCTTACTATACCCTGATCATTCGCCATCCAGCAAGGGAAGGTTTACGACCCATAATCTTACAAAGAAATTGACCTATGAGCTAAGGGGAAATTTTAGTTTAACTCTTGCATCAGACTGACCTCTGTAACCAAACATCAAAAGACGAATTTCTCAATAAGATAATAACCAAGAGTAAACTCTGAAGGATTGTGTCCTCGTTCTTGAGCTTTGACCTGACTCCCCCCCCCCCCCCCCCCAACCCTCCTTTTTTACCCGCCCACCCTTTGTGGGGCTGGGAGGGTTGTGTGAGGGACTGATTGGGGCAATGTCATCGGTGCTCTCAATAAGAAAAAAAACACTGCACTGTGTAACTAGGATCTTTATGCAATGGGCAGGACAAAAGTTGAAGGCAAGAAAGATGAGAGATGAGAGTCACACCAAGCTTCCTCACAGAGGTCTGACACATATAATTTTTCGATCATTGCAAGCTCTCCAAGTGTTCCGAGGCATTACCCTATGTGATGAAGGGTGCTCAGTAAATGTAAAAAACACTGGGAAGGGAATGCACAGCAGCACAGGCAGCATCTCTGGAGAGAGGAAAGTGAATTAACCTTTCAGCTTGATGATCCTTTATCATTTTCCTCTCTCCATAGATAGTGGCTGACCTGCTGTGTTCCCAGCCATTTCTGTATTTATTTCAGATTTCCGGCATCTGCAGTATTTTGCCATTTTTTTCTCTCTCAATAAGAAAACTGGATTTGAGACACTGCACTGTGTAACTAGGATCTTTATGCAATGGGCAGGAGAAAAATTGAAGGCAAGAAAGATAAGAGTCACACCAAGCTTCCTCACAGAGGTCTGACACAGATAATTTTTCGATCATTGCAAGCTCTCCAAGTGTTCCGAGACATTACCCTACATGATGAAAGGTGCTCTGTAAATGTAAGTTGTTGTTGCCAAAGCTATAGTGTTCTTGTCTGGCCATAAATTCCACACTGGTCAAGACAAAAGAACCTTGGTGCAGGAAAATCAAACAGTGCATCTGTGTGTATAATAATGATAATAATGAACCTTGCTTTTGATATAGCGCCTTATCACATCATTGAGACATCTCAAAGTGCTTCACAGGATATATTGTAAAGTAGATTGACTGTGTATTTTGTGAGCGAAACCTATGTATATGTATGCATCTGTGTGTGTATGTATCTGTGTGTGTATGTGTTTATGTATGTATATTTATCTATATGTGCTTACATATGTGTATATGTGTGAAGGGAGAGGAACTGCAATTCCAAACCCAAACAGAAGACGAATAACTTTTATGCTTTACCGAACATTTCCTCATCACTTTAAACGGACTAGGACGGACTCGTGCAAACGAAGGCTGTGAAGGGTTAAATCGGATCGGTAAGCATTACCGTACCTAATAATAATAATCCTTGGATTTAACCCGTTTGGGAGATTTATTGTTGTTTTTAGTTGAGCTCGAAGAGTAGGAACCCAGAGAATGTACAGAAACGTTGATGGTCCCCGTAGAGAGCTCCATTTCCCATCCTCAGCCACACTTCGTCACCTGTGGAAAGCTTAAGCACTCCACTGTTCCCTGAGCTGTCATGTTTGCCTTTCGCCTCAGAGCTGAAAGGGAATAGCAAAGAACATTAATCATCTTGGCGGGTCGCAAATGCTACGCAGGAAGCTGCACCACCAGAATGTCCCGTCACATGTACCAATTTAATCATAACAATATAATGATAATCCTTGAATTTCATTTGGCGCCTTGTTTCGCCCACAAAATATACACTTTACGGTATATTCTGAGAAGCGCTTTGAGACGTGTCTTGAAGACTTGATAAGGCGCTATATCAAATGCAAGGATTATTATGATTATTATTATCGTATTGTTGAGCCGTCTCAAAGCGCTTCATACTTTAAAGTGGATTGACTGTATTTTGTGGGTGAAACACGACAGCCAGTTGGGCACAGCAGTTTCCCACAAATTGTCACGGAGTGAGATAAGTTTAAGCTAGTTATTAATAATAGTGCATGCATTTGATACATGGTCTTGCTCTTCAGCAGTATATCTCAAACAGCTTCAGAGGCTTTACTGTAAAAATAATAATCCTTGCATTTGATACAGCTCCTTATCACATCAGTTATCAGTTATTAATATCATTAATACTAATCAGTTATTAATATCATTAATACTAATTAGAATAATCCTTGCATTTAATACACAGTCTTGCAATTTGGCAGGACATCTCAAAGCGCCTCACAGAATTTTTATCCGAGGGAGGATAGTTGGCCAGGACACTGGGAGAAACGCCCTTCTATTTTCAAATAGCGAGGATGGAATCTTTAATAGCCATCTGAACAGGCAGACGGGATCTCGGTTTAACATCTCAGCCATAGTGCGGCACCTCGGGCAATCACACAGCTCTGTGAAGGGTCCAACATTTACAAGGTAAAAATTGTTTGCCTCAGATCAGATTTTTTAACAATGATGTGGGCTGGGAACGAAAAGGTACAAAACCAATCATCTAGAGCAGTGTTTCTGCAATGCGTGGTCTCTGTCTCTCCCTTCCTCTCTGTCTCCCTCCGCACGCTGGCTGGTTTCAAGAAAGGAGGAGGTGTAGCAGATTACGAAAAGTCGCATTGCGGACACTCTGCCCATTGAGGCCACCNAAAAAAATTGGTTTGAGAACCATTGGTCTAGAATTGCTGCCACCTTGTGGGGAAGGGTTTACGCCAGCATTAAACAATGAACATCGCAATTCTTACTCCATTTCTGTTTCTTCCACAAGATAATAATATTGACAATAATCATTGCACTTGATATATCATGTCTTCGAGACATCTCAAAAGTGCTTCACAGAACATACTGTAAAGTGAATTGACTGTATATTTGTGACCGAAACTCAGCAGCCAATTGCACATAGCAATGTCCCACAAACAGTCGTGGATTGAGTGACCAAATTATTATTTATTTATTTTTTGAAGGGATTATTAGCCCCAGAAAAGCGATCCGACAATCTAATAACAACTGCGTTCCTATTTACTGCTAAGTAAACAGAGGGGTGTGGAGTAAGGAAATTTGCCTATATTTCACCCAGGAATCAAACACAGGTCCTCTCATTTGCTAGGCGAGTGCTCTACCTACTGAGCTACAGGACTCCACAGTCCAAATACAGACACTCCAGTTTACAATATATTCTGTGAAGCACTTTGAGACACCTCAAACAGCATGATAAGGCACTATATCAAAAGCAAGGATTATTATTCTGATTATTTTTGATGTAGCCTTTTCATACCTGTACACAGTTATGACGGCATTGCCATTGTGCATGAGGAAAACGGACGTATCCGCCACATCTTCGTGCTTCATCATATTGAAAATAAAGAAATAGACTCCTGAATGAATAAAAAAGCAAACACAGCGATGATTACCATACCATTACGAACTGGCCCACTCCCTCCAATCGGCATGCTCTGGCCTGCTCCATGTTCCCGCTCCGCCCATTCCACCATCGCTTTCTGCTGCCATCCTCTGGAATTTCAACCAGGAGGCCCTCTGCCTTGTCACCGACCCTCCCTTGGCTCCTTGAAGGCCGATTTCAAGACCTTCCTCTTTGACTTTGTCTCCAATAATCCTTCTACCTCCACCCCCTTTGCCCTCCACTCCTCTTGATTCCAACTCTCAAGCTCGGGTGCAAACTTCTCAAACTCTTCCAGCATTTTGGGACATCCTCCTGATGTGGAAGGCTGTATATAAATGCAACTTGTTGTATTATTATTACAATGAGCCTCCTGATCTCTTTGCCATTTTACGCGCCCACTTATTATTTTTTCAATCTTCCTAATTTTTCTCCTTCTCTGCTCATGTTCTGGCTTCCTCTCTCTGGGATACAGTTCTATAGGCGTAAGCCCAAGTGGCCGTTGTTCATGTATGAGACTTGGCAGTGAGTGTCGACAGGTTACTCAAGTGTAGATAGGTCACAGCCCAGCTTGACAACTCCTGATCTGGCTGCCTCCAGCAGAGGATGTTGTGGAGAGATCAGAAATCAGAAGCAGGAACCCTGGCCGATTTTCCTCTCCCTTACCCCTGGGAAGATCAGGGCCAATTTAGCCTCCCTATGCGACCATCAGCCTAACCTTCTGATCAATTCACGTACTTTCTTTGGCTGATGAACTTAAGCAAAGTAAGTGTCAGGCTATGAGGAAATACCAGCCAATTTTCCTGCATTTGGTTCATAATATACACAGTCAATACCATGTCAAATGCAAGGATTATTATTATTATTATTGATTGGATTCATTCAGATGCATCCACATCAAGCTCCAAATCCCACTCAGTCTTAGCTTTTAAGGGAATATGTGTAAAAAATTAAGATTGTCTTAAATCCAGCCTTAATTTGGAAGCAGATTTTGTGAAGTTCTAAGAAAGAAACTTTTATGAATTACCCTGGTGTCTGGGGGATCTCCCTTGGCTCATTCAAGGCGCATCTCAAAACCCTCCTCTTTGACCAAGCCTTCAGCCACCTTTCTATTTCCCTGCCCTTCACCCTCCCCAATCCTGTCCCCCAGCTTGGGTCCAAATCCCTGACTGTCCAGTGCCTTGGAACATCCTCCCAACATGAAAGGCATTATGCAAATGTAATTTTGTATTGTATTGTATCTTACATTTGGAAACAAAATGGTCTTCCAGGCTAAAACCTGATAGATTTCTGCTCTGTAAAGGCGGATACAGAGACCAGAGCAAAGGAAACTTTTCACGTGCATTTGGAAGCTTGTCAGAAAGTATTCTCAATGCCAAGTTATGCTGCTTTAGCTGGTTAGACTCCAGAAGTTTTGCACAATGCATATCTCAGAATCTCTAAGCTTTGCCTCTCTCCAGCCTATGCCTAATACTCTCCATAATTAGGTAAGCAGAGTGCGTGGCTTCAGGGAACTCTCAATTTGGTTTGGATACTCTTAAGTATGGGAATGGTTTCCACATGTCTCTGACACCTGGCTGACCAAAAATAAGTCTTTATAGTCCAGTAAAAATATTGGCTTTGAAATTGAAATAAAATTAAGAATTTTCCACAATTGGGCACCAGCTTAAATTTTAAGCTGTCAATGTTAAGGCTATAATTATGAAAAATGTCCTGTTTAGGTGGGATGCATGGCATTCTCAGTTTTCTTTGGATACACTTAAGGATGGTGATCGGTTTCTGTATGTGTCGAATACCCCAAAATAAATCACGTTATTTTATATTTTCCCACTTCCTCTATCTCCCTGGCATCACTCCAGATTCTACTTCAGTTTAATAGACTTCATATTTTTTACACATGTCTGCGATTTACCTAAAATAAATTTGCTGCAATTTATGGGTTTTTATGAGATTTAATTATTAGTTCATCATTTCAACTAACGCCCCATAGCCAGGATTTCAACATAAATTAATTTAGTTTTTATAGCCAGTTATAATTCAACGTAGTCTTCTAAATGTTCAAAATATATCATTGTTAAAAGACAACTAGACATAAAGTTAAATGATCCAGAAATGAAAATGTCACCCTCCTGCGCACAGTTTCACTTAGTATGAACTAAATTCACAGTAGAATCCAACGAGCCCTTAATTCATCTATTTTTGGAAAGTATTCTTGGCAAAACACAAGTTATTGTTATATTGCGCTATTTCTTAACACATTTCTTAATAATCCTTCCATTTGATCATCAACAACAACAACTTGCATTTACATGGCGCAAGGTGGTGTCCCAGAGCACTTAACAGTGGTGGAGCATGATTTCCAGCTGGGGGGGGAAAGGGGGAGTGACCGTAGGCTCGGTTGAAGAGGAAGAGGAAGGAGGGGGCAAGGAGGAGGGATAGAGGAAGAGTGTTCCAGGGTTTTGGGCCGTAGTGGCTAAATGTGTAGTCGCTGATGGTGGAACAGAAGGCACGAAGGGCAAGTAGGAGGCCGGAGCCAGTCGAGCCGAGGCAGCAGGTTGTGGATTGGGGAGTAAGCAGGTCGGAGAGGTAAGGAGAAACCAGGGCATGAAGGGCTTTGAAGACGAGTGTGAGGATCTAGAAGTCGATCCGTTCGGTGAATCCTTGCATTTGATCATCAACAACTTTCATTTATATAGCGCCTTCTCACAAGACTTTGTCTTGGAGGATTGTACACTGGCAGGACTGGATGCCGATCAAGAGAGAAAGGGGAGGTAGGGGTGATCATAGGATTGGCTGAAGAGGTTAAAATCCCAGGCAGGTGCAGCAGAACAGTGTTAGCTGATCAAACGTTTTATCATGACTGCAAGTCAGCTCAAGGCTCTTCTCAGGATTTACTTTAAAGTGCAATGAGATGCACACTCACTCTCTGGAGAGTATTAGGCCCAGGTTGGGATGAGCCAAGGCTTGAGGACCCCAGAGTGTGCGTTAGGAGTAACTGCTGAAGTTTAACCAGCAGGATTGGAAAACAGGACTTAAAGATAGAAAGAGAGGAGGCAAGACTGTGATGAAGGGAGGGAGCTCCAGAGGTGAGGGGTGTAGGAACAGAAGCCTTCAAGCCTTCTAATTCAGAGAAAGTTACAAGGTCTGAGGATAGCCAGCGACATCCAATAGAAGTGAACATGCTTAATTAATAAACAAAATAGAAACAAGCAAACAAATGAATAACAGAAGTTGACAATAAATACATTGATTAATTAATAAATTGATTGTTTAATTAATTAGGTTTATTAATTATTAATTACACCAACCAATTATAATAATTAATTATTAATCATCTGTAATAATGTCTTCAATCATCTTTACGGTTTATCTTTACAGTTCACGTCGGGAGGACTTCTCAAAGAGCTTCGCAGTTTTAGCAACTTTAGCTAGGGGACTGGGCTCTGTGTGTGGTGTCACAAGCTGTAATATTGCCAGCCTACCTGGTACAGGAACAGTGAACCTCCCTGTCATCACGTCAAAATGGTTTCCAACATTGGTCTCTACACTGCTGAAAATGATGCCACTGTTTTGGTTGGTGAAATGAGTTGCCATGGAAGCCATGAAAGCCACCTGCGGAACTCACAAAGAAGATCATAAACAAAAGAAAAAGGGATTAAATCCAGTAATCGCGGCCTGACACTTTGAAAGCCATTCAATGACCTCTAACATGGAACTCCAGAATATGGTCCTAAGATTGGAAATGAGGCTTCAACTCCAACGGAAATTGGCTAGAGCTCATTTACTAATAATAATCATTATATATGATGTCTTTCAACAACAACAACAATATGGCAGCCCTCACCCAAGGTAGCATTCCAGAGTGTTTTCCATAGTTTAGGGACATATTGGCAGAAAGTACGGCCACCGTTGGTCGAAAGGAGAGCACGGGGGACAAGCTGGAAGCTGGAGCCAGTCAAGCAGAGGCAGTGGGTCGTGGGTTGGGGAAGAAGCAGGTTGGAGAGGTAGAGCGATGCCAGAGTTTGAAGGGACTGTTATGTCAGGAGAATAATAATTAATAATCCTTATCACGTCATTGAGACAATATCAAGATTACATTTGTATAGAGCCTTTCACATCGGGAGGACGTTTCAAGACGCTGAAAGTGAGATGCCTGAAAGTGCTTCATAGAATATATTGCGAAGTGGATTAACTTTGTATTTTTGTATTATTATTATTATTATTATTATTATTATTTTCAATGTGCTTCACTCGATTCACTGTGAAGTGTATTGACCGTGCATTTTGTGTGGGAACACGGCAGCACAATAATATCACACAAACAGCCACAAAGTCAATCAACAATTATTTGATAAATAAAATAAATTGTTGACCAGGGCACTGGGGGAAAAAATGTATTGGGCGCAGTTTGGGAGAAACTAAAGACTTGAGGAGCCCAGAGTGTGTATTGGGATACAGCTGGAGTTTAACTAGTTAAAACTGCAGTAGCTTGCTATTGAGAGTACTGTCTGGCAAGCTTCCCGCTGCTGGTGAGGATACATTCTTGTGCAGAGATAACTGATGTGCAATTGTGCAGAGAATTCAAACCTCTGGCCCTGTGTGTACACAGCACACACTGTGTATCAGTCTATTTACAATAATGAATGAATTGCCAAACAGAGATGTCTAATGGCATTGCTGTGTTTGAAGGAGTGTGGACCTAGCATATCAGAAGAGCTTCCTCTGATGCTCTAATACTCTTTGCGGAGTGAAACCCTACGTAATTTTGTTACTCCACAAGCCTCTGTTTAACTAGCAGTAAGTAGGAACCCAGTTGTTAGTCGATTGGGGATCGCTTTACGTAGTAATGGTTTCTGCCATTGCAGTTAGCAAGTGGTCTGGTCTCACATATTCCTTGACACCAGGTTACACTGTTACTACCTAACAGTGTGGTTGCTGTGTGGGGAGCAGCTTCCCTTTAAACAAATTCACACACCCAGGTGATCACATTGTGTGAACAGCCATCTTCGGATATGAAGGACGACCATTATATTTTTTGATATTCTGTGACAAAAAGCAACACATTCATTGTGAAATCAGATGAGAATCTCTTATACCTTGAATTCTGTTGGAATCCCAGCTTGCCCCTTCTCTCCTTGAATACCCTGTGTCCCCCGTTCTCCTCGTAGACCTATGTGCCCCTTATCGCCCTTGTCGCCCTTTATCCCCTCGTGCCCCGGTAGACCATTGTTCCCATTGTTTCCGTGGTTTCCTGTTGAATCAAGAGACAGTACACTTCATAACGTTCGCCTACAAATCAGTCACGCCACTTTCCAATACATCATGTAAAGCACTTCAAGCTTTACATGCTCCTGAAGGAAGCATTACCCAACCAATTGTGGAAATTGACCTCGGTCGGCGCTGAACATTTTTATGTATCTACAGGGGGAAATTTCCAGCGTTCCTTAATTAGCACAGTTACTTAACACTTCCCTAACAAAGCTAAATTCTGACAAAACTTGACGTAATACACTGAATGGACACTTAGCGGCATCATCCTACCCTTCTCTCCTCCCCCAAGTGTGCGCTTGTGAGTTGACCAACTCATGACCCTTAGGGGAGGAAAATGGGGTTCCTTGTAGCTGAGCTCCAGGATGATGTGCTTGGCTACAGAATGCCAATAATCTACTCTGGGCAGTCTCGGAGGTCCAGTTCCTCAGCCAGGCAGGTCCCCCATATTCCAGGGCACTGCAATTGACAGCACAGCCCAGATTGGAGACAGGGATTCTTCCCACTCAGCTCCTGTTAACCCTGGAAGCCAAAGTCATAATGGGTACTGTAGTCCCAGCTGGACAAGCAGCAGGACAGCCTGCCAGGCAGTGCTCTCAATTTTCGGTTTTACCCAGTTAGTCTCCAGCAGTTACCCCAACGCACACTCTGGGAATCCCAGACCTTGGTTCTTGCCAACCTATGACAAATACTCTCCAGAATTAGAGAAAAATTCTTCTTTTTTTGACTAGTGTCACAGGATCTTTCATGTCCACCTGAACAAGCAGACAACATCTCTGAAAACACAGCACCTCCATTACTGCACGAATCAGCCTAGATTACAGGAGTTCAAAGTCCCGAAATAGCACTTGAACCACAATCTTTCAATGAAGAATGCACTGCTGTTTATCACAGATTTAAATAACTCACACCACGCTTTTGTGAACACTAATAAGCCAACAAAGACAAGCCTTAGCTCTTGCAGGCCTGTGCCTTGTAGGAGATGGCCCTTCAGGGAGAGAGCGAGCAGTCCATTCCCATACATGGGAATTCCTGCGTTTAGAACTCTATTTGGTTTGGATAATCTTAAGCATAGTGGTGGGTTTCCACATGTTTTCAGACACATGGATGACCAACGAAAAAAGCCAACAAACTATAACAACTTGCATTTATATAGTGCCCCTCATGCAGAGTAGCATCCCAGAGCACCTACTAATGGCAGAGCCTGATGCTGTGCTGGAGGGTCAAAAAAGAAGGTCATTAAGTGCAACTTGAAGCTGGGGAAGGGGAGGGCAAGGTGGAGGGATTGAGGGAGTGCGTTCCAGAGTTTCAAGGCATAGTGGCTGAAAGTACATTCATCAATGGAGGAACGCAGAGCACGAGGGAGAAGCAGGAGACCGGAGCTAGTCAAGCGGAGGCAGCGGATAGTGGATTGGGGAGTAAGCGGATAGTGGGTTGGACGAGAGACAACTTTCTTCAGCTCAACGTGCGAAAAACCGAGGCCCTCCTGATTGGCTCACGTCAGCGCCTCCGCACCTCAGGCGCTGACACCATCAGCATCCAAGGCTGCACTCTCCACCTCTCAAAGCCGTCAGGAACCTCGGCGTTTTGTTCGACCCTGAGCTGTCCTTTCTCCCTCACATCCGCACCACAACTGGCACCGCCTTCCATCACCTCCGGAACATCGCCAGACTACGCCATTACCTCACCCCTCACGCTGCTGAAACCCTGGTTCACGCCTTTGTCACCTCAAGGCTGGACTACGGGAACTCTCTCCTCGCCGGCCTTCCCGCCACCTCCCTCCACAAGCTGCAGGTCATTCAGAACTCTGCAGCTCGTGTACTGTCCCGCACCAGGCTTCGCGATCACATCACTCCCACCCTCGCTCGCCTCCACTGGCTCCCCATCCCCCAGAGGATTGATTTCAAGATCCTCATCCTCACCTACAAGGCCATTCACGGCCTTGCTCCCTCCTACCTCTCCAACCTACTATCCCTACCTACCTGCCCGTGCCCTCCGTTCCTCTGGCTCCGGTCTGCTCCACGTCCCCCGCCCCAACCGCCCTACCATCAGTGGTCGGGCCTTCAGCCTCTCAGCCCCCAGGCTCTGGAACTCCATCCCCCAGTGCCTTCGCCGCCTCCTCCCTTTCCTCCTTCAAGGCCGGTCTCAAAACCTTTCTCTTTGACCGAGCCTTCAGCTCCCCTCTCGACTCTCTTCCCCCTCCTCGCTCCCTCCCTTCCCTCCCCTCACCCTGACCATTTCCCCCCTCCTTGCTCCCTCCCTTCCCTCCCCTCACCCTGACCATTTCCCCCCTCCTCTCTCCCTCCCTTCCCTCCCCTCACCCTGACCATTTCCCCCCTGCTCGGGTCATGACCCAACTGTGCAGCGCCTTGGGACGTCCTCCTGACGTGAAAGGCGCTTTATAAATGGAATCTTGTTGTTGTTGTTGTTGTTGTAAGCAGTTTGGAGAGGTAGGGAAGTGCCAGGGCATGAAGGGATTTGAAGACGAGTGTGAGGATCTTGAAATAAATCAATCCCATTTGGTAATATGGAGCCAGTTGAGCCTGGCTAGAACTGGTGTGACGGGAGTATGGATTTTAGTGCCAGTGAGCATGAGTAATAAATAAACCATGCTCTGTACAGTCAGCAACACCTTAGACACATGGAACTCTCGGCTCCTGGCCACATGTATCAGTTGAATGAGTTACCAGGAATTCCAGGTGAACCCGGGGCTCCTGGCCAGCCGCGGGGACCTGCTTCTCCTCGACGACAGCACTGATTGCATTCGGAATGTGGCTTCTCCATAGGTTCAAAAGGTTCCTGTGATATACAAAAAAAATTTTGAAATAATAATGATTGTTACATTTGATGTAGCACCTGATCACATCGTCGAAAAGTCTCAAAGCAGATTTTCACTGCAAATTTTAGTGACTGTGTAATTTGTAGGCGAACATGGCAGTTAATTTACGCCCACCATGACCCATAAACAGCTTTGAAGTGAATCGACAATTTTATGCATGTCCACTTTAGCGCTACAGCGAGAATTATGGCAGAGTCCGCAAATTCTTTTCAAAAGGTAACGTTCACCAAAAAAAGAGGGTGGGGATAAATAACAATAATAATACTTGCATTTGATATAGAGCCTTATCTTGTCGTTGAGCCAACTCAAAACGCTTCACAGGATATATTGTAAAGTAACTCAACGTGTTCGTGTGCGCAAGAGAGTGGAGATAGATTAAAGAAATTTAACCTGGGTATAGATTTTGCTGTGTTTGTGTAATATTTCAGTGTGTGCAGAATTTGGCAAATTGCTTTCAGTCCTCTTGAAAGATCCCTGTTTTAAATCCGAGACTATGTAAGGACTTGTCAAATTTTAGATTCTCTAAAATGGTAAGAAAACAGAGTAAATCCAGGTGGGATTTCTCTCCAACAGTGGCTTCCGTAGAAAAAAAAATCACCAATGCAGATGTATTGACCCATTTCAGTCTGTAACGTTCTATGATTGCCCACAAATACACAGTCATTCCATTTCACAGTAATCTCTGTGAAGGACTTTGCTTCACAAACTGTCTATCAGACATCAAATCCTGAATGAGAGCTAACTTTCTCCAGTTGAATACCAGCAAGATCGAAGCCCTCATGTTTGGTCCCCATCAGCAACCTCACACCTCACTGAGCCAGTACAGAACCTTGGCAACTTGTTTAACTCTCAACTGTTCTTCAAACCCCACGTCCGTGCCATAACCAGTTCTGCCTTTCCCCCACCTCCACAACATCGCCCGGCTCCATCACTGTCTCTCCTCTCAGGCTGCCGAGACGCTCATCCACAAGTTCATCACATCCATGCTCGATTACGCTAACTCTTTGCTTGTCGGTCTTCTCAATTCTTCCCTCCACAAGCTGCAGATTATTCAAACTCTGCAGCTCACATCCTCACCTGCACCAGGCTTCCATCACACCCATCCTCGCCCGGCTTCACTAGGCCCCCCATTAGCCAGAGGATCAAGTACCAAATTCTCATCCTCACCTGCAAACTCCTCCATGGTCTTTCTCCTCGCTAGCCCTTTGACCTGCAAACACTTAATTGCCTGTCCGCAACCTCCACTCTGCGGCTCCGGCCTGCTCCACATTCCCCACCAAGCCCACCTCACATCGGTGGTCAGGTCTTCAGCCTCTCCGGCCCCACCCTTTCGAACTCCATTCCATAGTCCCTTCACCTAGCCCTCTCCGTTTCCTTCTTCTTCAACCATGCCTCCGATCACCCTCCTTTCCCTACCATCGCTGCCCTCCACTCTTCCTGATCCCAACCCCTGCTCGGGTCAAATCCTTGACTGCCCAACACCTTGGGAAGTCCACCCAACGTGGAGTCCTGTAGCTCAGTGGTTAGGGCACTCGCTTTGCAAGCGAGAGACCTGAGTTCAATTCCAGGCAGGGCGAAACCTTGGGCAAGTTTCCTTACTCCACACAGAGCCTAATAATAATCCCTCCAAAAACCAAAAACAATAATAATAAATTGGTCATTTTCAATCCACGACTGTTTGTGGGACATTGCTGTGCGCAATTGGCTGCCGCGTTCGCCCACAAATATACAGTCAATTCACTTTACAGTGTGTTCTGTGAAGCGCTTTGGGACGTCCTCCTGACGTGAAAAGCGCTATATCAAATGCAAGGATTATTATTATTATAATTATAACTGGAAAGGTGTGGAAAAATATAATTTGTTGTTGTTTGCGATGTCCTTCAGACATGATATGATGCTTTACTAAATGCAAGGATTATTATTTAATTGCTTAAATAACTTCTTAAAAAACTTAAATGCAGTTTAACTTCTTGCAGTTAAACATCAACAAGACGGAAGCAATACTCTTTGGCTCCCGTCTTTTGTTCTACAATTCAGACCTCCTCGACCTACCAGATCTGTCCTTAAGACTCTCTAAACCAGTGTGCAACTTCGGCATCAGGTTCGATCCCCAGTTATCCTTCCTCCCTCCATCCATTCCGTGACCAGGACCGCGTTCCTCCACAGCAGCCACATTGCCCATCTCCAACAATATCTCACTTTACAAGGAGCGTGGAGAGCGCTATATAAATGCAAGTTGTGTTGTTGTCATTATTATCATAGAATCATGGAATTATACAGAACAGAAGGAGACCATTGTCTGTGCCGGCTCTTTGAAAAAAGCTATCCAAATCAATCCCACTCCCCCGCTCTCTCTCCCCATAGCCCTGCAAACTTGTCCTCCCCAAATAATTATCTACTTCTCTCTTAAAAGCTCTTATCGAATCAGCTTCCACCACCCTTTCAGGAAATGCATTCCAGATCCGAACAATCCGCTGTGTGAAAACATTTCTCCTCACCTCCCCTCTGTTTCTTTTAACAACTATTTTAAATCGATGTCCTCAGGTTACCGACCCACCCGCCAGTGGAAATAGTTTCTCCTTGTTCACCCTATTGAATCCCCTCATAATTTTGAAAACTTCTAATAAGTCTCCTCTTAACTTTCTCTGCTCTAAGGAGAATAATCCTAGTGTCTCTAGCCTCTCCTCATAGCTGAAGTCCCTCAGTCCTGGTAAATCTCCTTTGCACCCTCGCCAATGTCTTGACATCCTTCCTAAAGTGTGGGGCCTAGAACTGACCACAGTCTCTCGCTGAGGCCTAACCAGTGTTTTGTAAAGGTTCATCATAACTCCCTGACTTTTGTATTCTATGCGCCTGTATATAAAGCCTAGTATCGGGTGTACTTTTTAACAGCTTTATCTACCTGTCCTGACACCTTCAAAGATTTCCTTATATGAACCCCAGGTCTCTCTGTTCCTTCACCTCCTTTAAGATTGTACCATCATCTTATATTGCCTCTCCTCATTCTTCCTATCAAAATGCATCACTTCACATTTCTCCACATTAAACTTCATCTGCCACATGTCTGCCCATTTTACCAGTCTGTCTGTGTGCATTTGAAGTCTGCTACTAACCTCCTCGCAGTTTACTACTTTTCCTAGCTTAGTATCATCTGCAAACTTGGAAATTGTATTCCCTAATCCCAAGTCCAGGTCATTTATATGGTTATTTATAATTATTATTACTGAAAATTAGTTGCCAAAGCTGGCTTGTTAATTTTATAATGATAATAATAATCTTTGTTATTTGTTATAGTGTCTTATCACGTAGCCAAGACATCTCAAGCACTTCACAGGATATATTGCACAGTAGATATATTTATATATTATAAAGTGGAGTCACTGTAGTATTTTATGGATTTTTGGATTGTTTTGACACAATTTCTTGGGGGAAAAAAGTAAGGTCCCCAGCTTGTGCGCTCACCCATCCAGTGGTGTGAAGCTGTCTAAGACATCCTCCTGACCTGAAAGGCACTACATAAATACAAATTGTATTGTGTATCAAAGGATTATTGATGTGTTGCTGAATGGTTGTGTTTTGAAGCTCAGACAGTGGGCATCTTTCATTTACACTGGATACGCTGGATAATTTGGTCATTCAATACAGGGCTGTTTGTGGGACACTGCTGTGTGTAATAGGCTGCGGCATTTTGTCCATGAAAATATAAAGTCAATGAAAGGGTATTGAGGATAACAGGATACTAATAAGTCATTCAGTCCATCCAGCCTGTCCCACTGTTTTCAAAGATCGTGGCCGATCCACAACTCAATTCCACCTCGCCAGACTCGCTCTATCTACCTTGATAACTCTATCAAGTCTATCAAGTATACAGGAACATAAGAACAAGAGTAAAGGAGAAAATTTGGATCCCATTTTCTTTTTACTCCCTGCCTCAATCCCTCCACCTTGCCACCTCTTTATCTAGCTTTAAATCCCACCTTAAGACCTACCTCTTTGACAATGTGATAATGTGCTATATCGAATGCAAAGATATTATTAATTATTCAATACTCTGACACAGATGTAATGAAGTCATAGGGTATTATATGTCTGGTCAGGTCAGACAATGCAGCACATCCCCAGCGATGCAATAGAGTGTCATCTTAGACTGTCTGTATTAACCATCATCCTTCTCGGTGCTTTCAATGAAGAGGGGTTTTGTTTTGATGTATAATTCTAAGTTAATAATAATAATAATCCTTGCATTTGATATAGCGCTTTTCACGTCGGGAGGACGTCCCAAAGCGCTTCACAGAACACTGTAAAGTGAATTGACTATATATTTGTGGGCGAACGCGGCAGCCAATTGCGCACAGCAATGTCCCACAAACAGTCGTAGATTGAAAATGACCAATTTATTATTATTTTTGGTTTTGGAGGGATTATTATTAGGCTCTGTGTGGAGTAAGGAAACTTGCCCAAGGTTTCGCCCTCTGCCTGGGATTGAACTCAGGTCTCTCGCTTGCAAAACGAGTGGTCTTACCACTGAGCTACAGGACTCCACAAGTTTTGGTGTGGTTGCTCGAGGCAAGTATTGCATGGGCACTACAAAGGCAGACACACTGTGAATCACTTTACCTCCTATGGATTTTCTTGGGATTATGACATTTGGATAAACGCATTTCATCTCCGACAGAAAGGAAGCTTGTGTTGACTTTGGGTGAGGAAAGTTACATTTGGCACGGATGGGTGTAACAGCCTGCCAACTCTCACAGACACTCAGTCTGGGCTCGAGATGAAGAATAGCCATTTGAGACTTTGCGTTTAGAACAATGAGAGAAAAACAACCCCAAACTTTTCATTCCCCCCTCCCCCCTGAAAAAAAAATGGAAGCAATTTCCCCAGCGCTGTAACTGTGTCACTTATCAATTTCCCACTTGATTTCCGGTTATTTGGAATTTTTTTTAGGAGGACACATGATCTGAAGCAAAGCAATATTGCTAAGAACTTTAGTTGACCCAATGACATTACCAGCCTGGTTCGGTTGCTAGCACGCTCGCTTCTAGATCAGAAGGTTGTGGGTTCAAGCCAGACGTCTGGATTTTGTCTCATAGGCTAGTGCAGCTATGGGGTGGTCAGGATGGGATTATTATTAACAATAATATTAATAATAGTAATCCTTGCAATTTGAAATAACACCTTATCACATCGTCAAGTTGTCTCAAAGTGATTTGCAGGATTTACAGTGACTGTATATTTTGTGGATGAAATGCGACAGCCAATTGCATACAGCAATGTTCTACAAACAGCTTTGGGGTGAATGATCAATTTTATTTGGGGCATTGTCTGTCAGCCAGGACAACAGGAGAAACTCCCTTTTCTTTTTGAATAACACCAGGGATCTTTAATGTCCCCGGAACAGGCAGATGGGAGCTTGGATTAACATCTCATCCGAAGGAAGCCACCTCTGACAATGTTGAATACCCCCAACACTGTACTGGAATGTCATCTTAGATTATTGATTTTAAGATCCCGAGGCGGGGTTTGAAGCCACAACCTTCTGACTTAGGTGAGAATGATACTGACACTGAGCCAAGCTAACACACAACTCTGATCTAATGATCTGGTGGTACAGGCTCTTATGAGCTAAATGGCCTCCAACTCTTCTGATGTTTCTTCAGTGCAATTTCTTTCAGATGCGACATTCTCCAGGTGGGTGTTAAACAACATTGTGGGACATGTGTGTGTTTGAGAGACCTTTGCTGCATGTAAAAAGATTGTGGCATTTGGCAACAAAAACATTCACTATTACTCAAACACACTCCTTGTCAGTCTCCCCAACTCCACCAATCAAAAGATCCAACTCATTCAGAACTCTGCCGCCCGCATACTTACCCGGACTAAACTCCGTACCTAGATCTTGACTGATACCTGCCTCCTGCTCGTCCCTCGGCGCCACCATCATAGGTCGCGTTTTCAGCCATTACACCCTGAAACTCTAGAACATTCTCCCTCAATAACCTCCACCTCTGTCCCCTTTTTCAAGTCCCACCTGCAAATCCTCCTCTTCGACCGTGCTTACGACCATCTCCCCCGCCGACCCCCATTCCAGGGTCCCCAAGCCTTGGCTCTTGCCAACCTGTGCCTAATACTCTCTGGTATCAGGTGAGCAGGCGTAGGATTCCATTCCAGACACAGGGAAATGTCCATGTGCAGGTAACATTTATGTGTGGAACTCTCATACTGGTTTGGATACTCTAAATCATGGTGAAAATAATAATAATAATCATGATAATAATCCTTGCATTTGATACAGCTCCTTATCATGTCTTTGAGACGTCTCAAAGCACTTCACAGAATATAACTGTATTTAACATTATCCAATGTTATTTGTGATCTTACTAATAGCTACTCACTGGAGCACAGAGTATGCTGTGTGGGTGGTGTGTGTGTGTGGGAAAATAACAAAGACAGCTGAGGAGATACTTAAACTGAGTGTATGGATCTTTTGCCAACACATTGGTCCTTGAACATCTGCAGTTTATCTCTCCATTTGTCATTATATCAAGTTAAGTCTAGGCACCATTTACATCACTGTTATCATAATGTCAGCCAATTTGTACACTTGAGGTTGCTACAAAACAGTCTTGAAGTGAATGATAGTGTCTCAGTATTTTAACAGTTGTACAATGTCATAATAACAATAATCCTTGCATTTGATATAGCGCCTTAACACGTCTTCTAAACGTCTCAAAGCGCTTCACAGAATATACTGTAAAGTGAATTGACTATGTTTTGTGGGCGAAACGAAGGCAGCCAGCTGCACACAGCAGTGTCCCACAACAGACGTGGATTGAGTGACCCAATTTTTTTTAATTTTTGAAGGGATTATTACATACAATGATTACATGATATTCATAAGGAGAGCGAGTGAGCAATCAATCATTCTATCTGACAACCAACACTTTCAAAAGGATAATAAAACCAAACTTCTAAAGCATACATATCAATAAAAATGTTCAGAAGGTTCAGGTATGCAATTATCTTGTACACTTTTAAAGCAATAAAGTTTAAGCGCTGAGTAAATATATGGATGCTTTGAAAAGGATCTCGAAAGCAAACTAAGAATGAATGAGGCAATTTTGGTGGTTCCATTAACATCTGAGGAACCAAATAATAATACCTAAAGGGATTAAAGAGCACAAATGTTATAGAGCAACAACAAAATTACATTTGTATAACGCCTTTCACGTCAGGAGGGTGTCCCAAGACGCTGGACAGATAGAGTTATAGACCAGAGCTGAGGGTCGGGGTGGGAAAGGGGCGAGGGCAGGGGGGGAAGCCGGGAGATCAAAAGCATGGTCGAAGAGGAGGGTCTTGTGGTGGGTCTGAAAGGTAGTGAGGGAGGGGATGAAACAGAGGGACTGCAGGATGGAGTTCCAGATGGTGGGTGCAGAGTGGTGGAAGGCCCGCCCGCCGATAGTGGGGCAAGCGAAGCGGGGGATGTGAAGCAAGCCAGAGCCCGCTGAGCGGAGGTCGGAGAGGTAGTGGGGAGCAAGACCATGGAGGGCTTTGAAGGTGAGAATCAGAATCTTGAACTGTATCCTCTGTGTGATGGGAAGCCAGTGGAGTTGGGCGAGGATGGCGGTAATAGGGTCATGGAGGGAATGTGGGATAGAAAGGATATTTGACGGTCGAACAAGACCCCAAGGTTCCAACACACTAAACATCTTTAAATTATTTATCATCTTGTGTGTAACTTAGGCCTTTGGAAAATAAAATTACGCACGTCTGATATGTCACCTATAATGTCTCAAAGTGCTTCACAGACATTTGCTGTCAATTTGTTCATTTAGACATAATAATAATAATAACAATTCTTGCATTTCACATAGCAACAACAACAAAATTACATTTATAGAGCGCCTTTCACGTCGGGAGGATGCACTGAACAGTCAGGTGTCGGGGCCCGAGCATGGGGGAGGGTGGTGTAGGGGGTGAGGCAAGGCAGAGAGGTGGGCGGGTGACCAAAGGCACGATCGAAGAGAAGAGTCTTGAGACCAACCTCGAAGGAGGCAAGGGAGGAAGCGAGGCAAAGGGACCGTGGGATGGAGTTCCAGAGTGTAGGGGCAGAGGCTGAAAGCCCGGCTACTGATGGTAGGGCGGTTCGGGCAGGAGACATGGAACCCGCTGAACGGAGGGAGCGGGCAAGTTGGTAGGAATTCAGCAGGCCAGAGAGGTAGGAGGGGGCAAGGCCATGGATGGCCTTGAAAGTGAGGATGAAGATGAACTCAATATGCTGGGGAATGGGGAGCCAGTGGAGTCGGGCAAGGGTGGGGGTGATGGGGTCATGGAATTGGTGCCCGAGAGTACACGAGCAGGATTTTAATGTAAGGTGGAGTGACTGTATATTTGTAGGCAATTTTGTGTACAGCAACGTCTCATGAAGCCAGGAACTAAAATTACCAATTATTTCAGGGTGGATTGTTGGCCATAACACCAGGAGAAACTCCCGTCTGTTTTCCAATACGATTGTGGGACCATTAACATCCACTTAAACCCGCAGACAGAATCTCGGTTTAACGTCTCATCTGAAAGACCGCCACCTATGACAAGGCAGCGTTCCACCCAGAACTACGCTGGAGCATCAGCCTTGACTGTGCAAGTCCAAAGTCCTGACATAGGGTTTGAATTCACAACTTCCTGACTCAGAGATGAGAGTACTAGCAACAGAGCCAGGCTGGCCCAAGCTTAAAATTCCAGTTAATTTAATCGATTGGCAGATCGCTTAAAAAAATAGTGGTCATTTAATCCATGACTGTTTGTGGGACATTGTTGTATGTAATTGAATGCCACGTTTCGCCCACAAAATATACAGTCAATTCACTTTACAGTATATTCTGAAAAGCACTTTGAGATGTCTGGAAGCTGTGATAAGGTGCTGTATCAAATGCAAGGATTATTATTATTTTTATTATTAAACTCTACTCCCCACTCAACAATGGGATAGAAAAAGAAATATTTAAAAATCAGGTTTGATGTTTTATTAAAACAAGTCGTTCTGATTTTATAAATTCCTCACTTGTTGCAAGTTCAATTCCGTTCCAACAGCCGGTTTCATTTTACTCTTAAGAAAAAATATGAAACAACAAATAAGAAACATGCAAAGTGGCATTTCTCTCTCTCTCTCTTTCACCAGAAACAAGTACTCGTTCACAGGAAAAATAAAACAGAATAAAATACTGCACAAGCGAAATGAAACCAGCTGAACTATCTTGAATTAAGGCTTAGAGAAAGTCGGTTTTATTGTAAACCCACGGTTTTATTGTAAACCCACATGAAATCAGTTCGAAGCGCCTGCAGTTTATACAGTGCATACCTGACTCTTTTTTTACCTCAGTTAGAAACCTGTTCTATGTTGGCAATATACCCTTGCAGTAAATAAGAACCCAATTGTTATTTGATTGGCGGATCGCTTTGCCGGGGCTAATAAACCATCCAAAAAAATAAAAGTAATAACAATTTAGTCACTCAATCTACGACTGTTTGTAGGACACTGCTGTGCGCAATTGGCTGCTGCAATTTGCCCACAAAATATACAGTCAATTCACTTTACAGTATATTCAGTGAAGCACTTTGAGACTTCTCAACGACTTGATAAGGTGCTAATGTAAGGATTATTATTATTATATTATTTCCCATACTGATCCAATATTGTCAACAGCAGCCTCCTTTGTAGTCTCAGTTTGCTGCCACGTTATACACCAGGATTACCATTAACCATATTACCCCACATTATCCTCGATGACTTTTAGTCGACAAGTCTACAACATCTCTCGTGCTCACCTCCATGTAATCCTCCTGACACAGGCAGAACGGTAGGAAGAAGAGTACAAGAATGGACCAACGCTCACAAGTCTTCAGTCCCATGTTGGGACAGGAAAGAATGGGCTGGGATGGTGGGGCTAGCAGATCCTCAGCAATGGATTACTGTTGTCCTGAGCTACTTCAGGCAAACTGTGATCTCTGTCAAGTACCTTGGCCAACATTCAAGGCTTAATGCCGGAATTGCGTGCCAAGCATATGTTTATAGTGTTGTCACAGGAAACGCTGGGATAACCCAGTGATATCATCTCTCAGCTGCGTTCAAGTCAAACCCCCTTCCCCCTCTCCTGCAGAAAAGAGGCTTGTTTTACTTAGATGAAGTGTAACCTCTCCCCCGCTTCCTCCTTCGATCACAGGACCTCAGTCTAATAAATGGATTGGATTTTCATGGATTCATTTCACCCAAATCCCCAGATCCCCTTTGTGTCCAGCGCATTCATTCACTCTGCGACCAGATCGGGGGATCTGTTTCTGCTCAAGTGTGAAAAATGGAGTTGAAAATGAGAAGCTATGACTAATGTGGAATTTTCCTAGAGTGGAAGCATGTGGTAATCCAGTTACACTGAGATGTCTAGGTGCTAAGTTTAAGTCCTTTTTCTTAAACTTTTTTTTCAACTAAGTCATATGCTGACACTTGCAACTTTCATTAACCCTGATAGAAATTATTTTTTCATCATAATAATAATCCTCACATTTGGTATAGCTCCTTTCATGTCGGGAGGACGTTTCAAAGCGCTTCACATGGTATACTATAAAGTGTAATGACTGTGGGTGTTTTGTAGGTGAACACAGCTGACAATTTGCGCACAGCAATGTCCCACAAACATCCATGAAGTCAATGACCACTGGATGGGGTTTGTTGGTCAGGTTACTGGGACAAACTTCTCTCACGGGATCTATAACGTCCACCTGAACAGACACATACAGGACTTTGGTTCCACATCTCATTCAAAGGACGTCACTTCCAACAATGCAGGGCAACCCCACCACTGCAATGGAGTAAATTGAAACATTTAACCTTTTTTTATTCAAGTAAAATTTAAATAATAAAACCGACATTTTACTGAGGCTGCCACTTGATCCAATATGCCCCACGTGTGTTTTGAGTGAAGTGGGCTGTTCTTAACAAAGCTCTTGTTCATTTCACGTTGGCAGGTGTTAAGACCTTTGCCAAGGAATGACTCATTGTGAAGCCAGACATCGCTGTCAAGCTAAACTGCACAATTTTTGTCAGTGGCTAGAAATTACATTGAGATTTAATGATCACTTATGTGTCTCGCCAAATCTTTGAAAAGGCAGAAAAATTTCCTCTTGTCAGTAAGACGGCAATGCGGAACTCCTGGCTCGGTTCGACTGACAATAGTCCTTGCAGTTGGCATCGTGCTTTTCACAGAGGGAGGACATCTTAAAGTGCTTCACAAGAAGTGGAGTGACACAAACGCAACATCCCCTTATTCAGAGAGCAAAGTCCTGCAACCAAGGGACCTATTCAATAAGTCTCATTTTGAATGAGAAGAGATGACTGGGGAGGGAAGCTGGGAGGAAAGTTTAGTGGCGAAAACGGCGACACATGATGTGATAATTGTCACTGGTGGGAGGAACATTATTGAATCTTTTCTGCACAGTATTACATCACTACAGATCTTTTGATCCCGTTTCTGTAACTTTTACTCGAAACTCCATTGTGCACTTTCTTCCCCAGTATTTATTTACTATTTACTTTGAACATCCATGGGAAACCTTGGCTCTTGCCAACCCATACCTAAACTCTCTGGGATTAGGGTCCATCCCTCCAGGAAGAGAGTGTGCACTCTACACAGGGCAAACGGAAACCATTGCACTTGTGGAACTCTCCGCAGTTCAGTTCGGAGACTCCAAACACGGTGAATGGTTTGCGCAAATGTTAGACACCCAGTTGACCAAATACAGTGTTTATTATCAGAGAGTAGTAAATTTTGCCCCCTCAATGCGTGAAAGGCCTCCCAGACTTTCTCATGATGGTTGGGCTCAAAGCCCCTTGCATTTGTGGAGTCCTGTAGTATATTGGTTAGAGCACTCGCCTCGCAAGCAAGAGATTCCCAGCAGTGCAAAGCCTTAGGCAAATTTCCTTACTCCACACGCCTCCATTCAGCAGGCTCCGGCATGCTTCATGTCTCCCTCCCGACCCATAGTAACATCGGCGACCGGACTTTCAGCCTCTCTGCCCCCACCCTTTGGAACTCCATCTCACAGTCCTTTCGCTTCGCTTCCTCCCTTGCTTCTTTCAAGGCATGACTCAAGATCCTCCTTTTCGACGATGCCTTCAGCCACCATCCTACTTCTCTGCCTTCCCTCATCCCAACCCTGTGTCTCCACGCTCGGGTACTGATCCCCGACTGTCCAGTGTCTTGGGACGTGCTCCCGTCGTGAAAGACGCTTTACAAATGTAATTTTGTTGTTGTTGTTACCGAGCAGTCAGTAGGAACCCAGTTGTTAGCCAATTGGCGGATCATTTTTCCGGGAGCAATAGTTCCTTAAAAAAAATAAAATGTGGTCACTCAATCCACAAGTGTTTGTGGGACACTGCTGTGTGCAATTGGCTGCTGTGTTTTGCACGCAAAAAACAAAGTCAATTCACTTTGCAGTACATTTTAGGCAGCGCTTTGAGACATCTCGAAGACGTGATAAGGCGCTATATCAAATTCAAGGATTATTATTAATATTATTTGGCATTGGACCTAGTGTGTGCATTTGAGTGTTGTTTCCCAGGCTTAACTTTCCTGTGGTAGTCTGTGTCCAGGGAGCCAGTAGTCAAAGGGTGCAAGTTAAACTCCAGCTCACAATCCGTCGAGAACCACTTGTTCTTTTCCAGCAACATGACATCAATGTGGAAATTACTCTGCAGTGGAAAGTACAGTGTAGAGAGCACGAAAGCAGCAAGGAATCTCGTGTTTGAAAATGGTTAGCAACTGAAAGGAAAACGAATGGAAACGGTTCAGCTTCCAAGGCTTGGGACTCACAAGTCTTTTGCACTTGACTGAGTGACAACTGATTAACGTACCGCTGGGGGCTGTTCTCCTTGTGAATTCTCTGCCCCAGACAATACGTCAGCCCAGCTCCATTCATGAAGTGAATTAGTCCCCGTGCGCTTGTAAATTACATCGCGATTTCAACTTGGAAATCATAAACCATGTGTGAGATTAACCTTGTAAACGGGCAAAGGCAAATGCCCCAACCTTACTGAACCGAGACAATTAGTGGGCACTCCCCACCAATGTCTTAAGTCACAACAATAATCCGTACAGTTCAAACAATGCCTTATTATGTCATCAAGACGTCTCAATATGCTTCACAGAATTTTACTGTAAAGTGTAGTAGTGATTGCATATTTTGTAGGTTGCACGTGGTAGTAACTTTTGTGCACAATAGTGTCCCACAGACAGCCATGAGGTGAATGACCAATTTTTATTTCAGGCGAATGTTGAGGATGTCTAATGTTCTGTTCTCGTTTTGAGTGCTGCCATTGGGATCTTTAATGCTCACAGAAAAGGCACAGATGGGAGCCTAACTGGAGCCTCGGTTTAATGTCTCATCCAAAGCACGGCACCTCCGGCAAAGTAATACTCCCCCAATCCTGCCTGAAGCGTCAGCCTAGTCTGTGAGTTCAAGTCTTTTAATTCTTTGTTTTGCATGCGCTCCCCTGCAAGCCTGAAGTTCCCCCCGCCCCAGTGTGTAAAACCAGTTTATAAAAAACCTTTCCTTTCTCTCTGTTTTTTGTTTGTCTATTTGTCTCTCTCTCTTTAGGCAAACATAGATATCTCTATCTGTGTCTCTTTCTCTTTCTGTCACGCTCTCTGCCTATCTTTCCTTCTATCTATGTCTCTATCTGTCTCTCTTTCTATGGTCTCTCTCTCTCTTTCTCTGACACTTCGCACTCACCTCTGATGTAACTCAGGTTTTATCCTCTATTTTCTTATTCCTCAGATTTGCAATGAGATTTGCCTTAAAGCATTTTACAAATCTCACAATGCAAATGGCTTCCGAGATTCACAAACCGTTAAGTCGCAATTAATGCAAAGACTCCAGTTTCTGTATAAGCATTTGCCTCTATCTCTCCACCACAACCCGGGATTCCAGCCAGCTCTGACTGAGTAACTGTCTCACATCAAGTCCTGGATCAGCCATAATTGTATGCAGCTGAACAGTTTTGAAGCATTCTTGATGTGAAGGCAACTAAATAAAAGTCCTGTATCTTATTGGTTAGTCATGTAGCGTAGTGGTTATAGAGCTCGCCTCGCAAACTAGATGACCCGGATTCAATTCGCGGGCAGGATGAAACCCTAGGCAAGTCTCCTTACTCCACACGCCTCTGTTTACCTAGCAGTAAGTAGGAACCCGATTGTTAGTCGATTGACAGATCAATTTCCAGGGATAATAATTATTCAAAAATAAAATTTAAAAAAAAATTTGGTCAATCAATCCAAGACTATTTGTGGGTTACTGCTATGTGCAATTGGTTGCCACGTTTGGCCCACACAATACCTAGCAGTATGTAGGAACCCAGTTGTTAGTCGATTGGTGGATCGCTTTTCCCGGGGTAATAATTCCTTCAAAAAAATTAATAATAAATTGGTCACTCAATCCACGACTGTTTGTGAGGCACTACTGAGTGCAATTGTCTGCTGTATTTCACTCTCAAAATATACAGTTAATTCATTTTATAGTATATTCTGTGAAGCGCTTTGAGATATCTCAAAGATATGATAAGAAGCTATATCAAATACAAGGATTATTATTATTATTATTATATAGTGCCATTCATGCATGCCAGCGTCTTGGAGCACTTGACATTGGCAGAGCCTGATGCCAAGCTGGAGAGCGGGAGTCATGATCTAAAAGAGGGCAAAGTGACTGAAAGTGCGGCCGCCGATAGTGGAGCAGAGGGAACGAGAGATAAACAAGAGGTCAGAGCCAGCCGAGCAGAGGCAGCGGGTAGTGGAGTGGGGAGAAAGCAGGTCAGAAAGATAGGGAGGTGTTAAGGTTTGAAGGGATTTATAGACGAATGAGAGGATACCAATACTCCTGTCGGACAACACTATACACTACTCATGCCAGAGAGGAGATCTCACAGTTTGGCAACATACTAATAAATTCCCCAATGAACCCACTTTGCATGACTTGGATTCCTTAGTAAGACATCAC